TCTACAAAGAATATTAACGATTATATACATGAACAATTACATTATATATTATATTATTATATTAAATTATATATATAAATCACAAAATCTCTTCTTTTCGAGGCACGTATCTAAAACGAATAAACTCAGCAACAAAAATAATTAGTAATATCATTATAATTAATTATTATAATTAAAATTATCCTACGCTCTTTAACCTTCTCAGTCTCTACCTACTGCAAGATCCCGCCAAAACTGTACATGTTGGTGCCCCTCATTTACGTGCATATATATGTACATTACTGCATTCTTCTAGCAGCACAGTGCGCATGCGCGAAAACGCGACTTCGCAGCAACACTGGACACAGCTTGACTTGACTTGACATTAGTCTGGTATGGTATTTACCGACATCGATTTCTGTCGATTTCTGTTAGGCCAGTCAAAAGAACGGTTGAAATTGCTTGATAAATTTCTAAACCTGTGATTCTTATTCTAGAAATTGTAAAATATAAAGAACATTATAACTTGTAACATTTTACTGCGACAAGATTTAAAATATGTTTCAAAGACCGTCACATGAAAGATCTCGATAGGTTAAGAAATTAGTAAGTACAAGTATTATACAAATTATTATTTGAATATTACAGTTTTCTTTACAATCACATTTTTATATCGTCTAACATTTTATTCAGATGTATGAAAAATCATGAAGTGTGAAAAGGTACATCAATATTTATAAATTATAAGTTATTTTATCTAAAGCTTGTAAGTCAAAATTACAACTCTTGTAGGTATATCTTACTTCAATCCAGGACTTTAATAGATGAGATTATATGAAGTGGATAAAATGATGCATTATGGATCATGGATTCAACATCAAGCTATGTTAGATAATCATCAGTGTTATGCACCATATGTTGATATGATGCCATCCTATCCACAAGATCATCAGTATCATGATCATGAACATCATCACTTGCCTGAGGAAGAAAACGAACAGACTGGCAATGAAATACATGAAACAATGACACCTGCTACTTCTGGAGAACGTAGTTCTAGTGCAGATCTATTTAGATTAGAATTTGCAGCAGCACAGTGGTCTAAGTTAGTCTCGAATGCGGAAGGTTTATTCACAAAACTTATAACAAATAATATTTTGCCACATACTGATCAGGATCAAATTGAGCAATGGCTTTGTATGAAGCAAGAATATGAGGAATGTATAGCCAGTGATGATACTATCAGTGTACAAGGTTGTACAGAGAATATAAGGCGATCATTGGAGCGTATTGAAGAAGTAACTGAGACTGATGAAAAGACGGATGAATCTGCAAATCAAATGAAACTCAAACTCAATTCCAATATCATATCTAGTTCAGAAAGTGAATTATCTGAAGCTGATGAAGATGAGGATGAAGATGATGATGAGGATCAAAGTGATGCTAGTTCAGAAAATCCAGATTTCTTAGAAAAACTGGATGAATACATGAACAAGTTTAAATTAGAGACAGATAGAATTGTCGATTCCAAAAAAGATGATTTTAGAGAAATGAACATTGAAATTATATCTCCAGTGACGAGATCAGTAAATAACAATTATGTGCCAGTAGCTCGTCCTGTACCAATTAGAAATTCCAGGAGAAACTCTATGCTTCCTGGCTCTGATATGTGTAACGAAGTATTAGCTTTCAACGATAGTTTAAAACCTTATCAAAATCAAATCCTTGGTAATAACATGCCAGAATATATCAATTCGTGCATGTTAGATAATCGCGAAACGGAAATAAATATTAACGATAATAACATTAACGATAATTTTATTGCAATACAAAATGACAATTCTCCAGATTTGTTACTCGATGCTCTCAAGACTACAGAAATACCCGAACCGATTAAGGAATTACAGGCTCTGACGCTAAATAACGAAGCAAAACAAACGCAAGTAAAAAAGATTCAATCTACTCTGGAAGGTGCGCATAAACGTATCGAAGAACTTCAAACAACAATCAAAATTAAGCAACGTTTTATAGCAGACATGATAAAGAATTCTGATACACGTACTAGTGCGAAGCAGAAATTCCAACGTAAACGCAATAAATTAGAGGAGGAGTATTATAACACGAGAACGCAGTTAGCGCAAGCGGAAAATGCTTCCATGTACAAAGATTCAGATGAGAAGTCGGTATACAAGAAAGAAATTGAACTCATGAAGAATATGGCGATACATTACGAAAAACGATTGTTAGATATAGATATGATCAAACAAATTGCGGGCGATTCGGCGAAGAAAGTTTTGGAACTAGAAGCCTCGCTGAATACGTCTAAAAAGCAAATGGACAAACTAAAACGGCAATTGAAAAAAGAGGAAGAACGTAAGAAGCAATTAGAGGAGGAATTAGCTAAGGACCAGCATAAAATTCGCGAACTCGAAGAAAAGTACAACTTAACCGCTTCCAAATTGAAGGAAATGCAATCAGAGAGCGAAGACGAGAAACACTTTGCAAGATCGAAGACTGATTGCACAGACAAAAAGAAGAACTTGCTGGATGTTAATGCCAGGATATCTCATCTTGACCACGTTCTGAAAGAAAAATCTATGGACTTGGAAAGAACTGCGGACACGGACGAGAAGGAAGCGTTACGGCACGAGATAAGAAACTTGAGACACACGCGGGACTGTTTGGTAGACGAGAAATGCGATTTAGACGAAAAATTCCAAAAAGAAAGAACTTTAACGACAGTGGAAGAACGTAAATTGCTCGAATGCGGCGAAACTATTGAAGCTATTGACGCAATGATTGAGCATAAAAACGAAATGATTTGCGGACGAAAAGACTTTGATGAGAATCAGTCTGAACGCGAGAAAGCCGAGAGAATGCTGATGGAACGCTTGAAAAAACTTTCTCATGGTGAAATAATAACGTTATTTTTTAAGTATTTTCGCAAGGTGATTGACTTGAAGGAAAGCTCGAAAAATCTAGAGGTGCAGATAAACGAGCTGGAGACGCATATCGCGAATCAGGATTGGCGATTGATGGAAGGAGAAAGAAGAATGGTTTTAATGCAGAGACAATACGAGGACAAGTTGCATCACGTGTACAGGCACTTTGCAGAGGAAACAAGCAGCTCCGGTCATGAAAGACTAGATAAGGATTCCGAACTTGCTAAATACAAGAAAGAGAACAGAGCGTTAAAGAAACGACTGGCGGACGTTGAGATCTTACTAAAAGGTGCGACACCTCCGCGCGTAGCTAGTCCATGTAGGTTTCCGCAGCAAGGCTTGAAACAGATTGCGCCGACCCGATCAATAACCAAAGTAACTAGGCAGCGAAATAAGTTGATTATTCAAAAAACAACTGACTGCGATAAAAAGAAAAAGTGAGTTATAAAACGTTAGAATTTTCTTTATACTTTCATAAGCGAGTTATTCGAATTTCTTTATTGTACATTTTTGTTTTATATATCACATGTCTGTATATTTTTTGTTACAATGTGACTCTTGTATTAAAACACAATAGACTGTCTAGATATTAATTTTGCTGTGTAATTCGAAAAAAATGATAATTTAATTATATATATATATATATA